AGCTATTTGCTGAAAAATGCATAGATTCACTCTGCAATCACATTGCTAAGTCTGTAAAAAAAAAAAGCACTCTTGTGTTTGACAGTAGACATAGAGGCACCACATGCATTGTTTGGGCAAAGAGTTACTGTGAATAACCCTTTAAAAGCAGCTTTTTAAAAGCCACCTTCTTGAATCTAACCTTCTTTAAATATAAATAGTTGCTACTTTGTCCTTCCATTTCTATAATCTGTGAAAATAACAAAAGGAGAACAATCTTACCAAAGAGCTGGGATTTTAGTAAACTACATGACTAAGAACAAATAAAATAAACAATTTTTATCAGTCAACAAAAATTACTAAAAGTAACTGTGTCAGACCTGCCACCACTTAAACCTCTAAGTAGAAATGATCCTTGGCTCCATTGGTTGAGAAAGGTATAGTTTATTAGAAGTCTGGTATATTGCACTACTGCAATTCACTTGACTTCTAATAAAACTATGCCCTTCTCAACCAATGGAGCCAAGGTCAGACACACTGAGAATTACAACTAAAAAAAGTTAAAATCAATGCCATGCCATTTCTCTTTTTTAAAAAGGGGAGAGGGGAAAGGAAAATATAGAAAACCATTCTTGTCAGCAAATGTAATCATTTACAAGTTGAAAGTGTCAGGAGCAAAAAACCAGACCCACAGGTAAGATTTCAATTAGCTGTTTTATTGTTCTAGCCCAGGGGTGTCAAACTCGAGTTCATTGTGGTTGCCCTCAAGGGGGGAGGAGGATGGCGTGGCCAGTGCTGTCATGGCCAACTGGGTGGTCATGGCCAGGATGGTCATGGCCAGGTGGTCACAATTGACTGGATGGGTGTGGCCAGGATGGGTTTGGCCAGCTCGACATAACTTGCGTTGGGGGCACCTGTGGGGGCCTGGGCAGGGCTGGGGGGATCCAGGGGTCTTCCAAGGAGAGGGGTGGGACAGGGGTGGGTGCTGGGGCTGATCCACCAGAGAACCCTCACCAACCCTCTCGGGCCATGCAGGAGGCCCCGGAGGGCAGCACAGGCTGCCGGGGGCTCTGGATGGCAGATGTCCTGGCCCTCGAGTTTCTAGGGCGCTCGCTGGAGGATGTACCACCTTGCCCCATCTGCCTAGCTTTGAAGGGCCCAGATTTGGCCCAAGGAGATAGTGAGACAGTAAGATTTGGTCAATGGAGATAGAAAGGGACCAGTCTATCCCGCCCTGGCCCAGCCTGGTGCCCCCTGGCATGTGCGAGGTGATGAATGCACAGGGACCGATGGTGTTTAGCAGCAGCAGCCCACCGGATCCTCGACTGGCACACTCGCTGCGATGATTGGGGCCTGCCCTCCAAGCAGCAGGCGTGGTGATGGTACCAGCAATAGGTGGAGGCAGAGGTGCCAGCGGGAGGGCAGACATGATCGAGCCTGTTAAATGCAACGGCTGCGCAAAGACAGAAGGTGGGATGGAGCATGTGTGTTTGGTGGGCCAGATCACATGCCACCCACCCCCCATACCTGTGCTTCCGTCTGCTGCCAGCTCCAGAATGTGCCGGCTGAGGGGCAAGCAGGCTGCGGCTGCTGCCGGACACCATCAGTCTGTGCTCGCCTCCCATGTGTACACTGGGGAGGCGACCAGCTGGGCTGAGGCCAGGGCGGTGGGGACCAGTCTCTTGCCGTCTCCAGGGTGGTCCCATGGCCCAAATCTGGGCCCATCACGAGCCAGATCCAGCCCTTAGGCCTTGTGTTTGACATGTCTGCTTTAGCCCATACACTGGAATCTTCTCAGAATGATAAGTTGCACCTGGGTGAGACTACATAAGGTTCAATGGCATTCAAGAGGGATCTAACTTCGCCCTCTTGTGCCCACATAGGGATTCCAAACTAATTCTCCATTTGACCCGCTGGCTCGGCCAGTCTTTCTCCCACAAAAGGGGAGGTATCACCTATGTGATACCTCACTATTTCAGAGAAAATTACATTTTTCACATTCATATTTGATACTGACCTTATCTGATGATCAAATGCTACTGTAAGAAAACAAGGAATACATATATTCACACTGCCCCTTTGCTCTACTTGGACAGTGAAACAAATATGGAAGCCATAAAATTAGAAAACATAATGAATTCAGGAAGTAGCTTGATCTTGACACATTTGCCTTATTTTTTCGTAGTTTATATTATACTAATTATCATGTAATATAAATATTTATTTAATCTTATATTGCTTTTGGATCTTTTGCCCATTCTCATTTTATGGCAGTAGGAAGCTTACCAATTTTTATATTTTCTTGTGATATGTTATTATAAGGCAGTTAATAACAACTACATATATAACAAATAAATCTAGATTTCTTCACTCACCCAAACTTACATTACGATCAACCCACTGGCTTATGTAGCATTTGATATATGAGACAATCTTTGGAGATTTGTCCAGAATGCAATAGCCAGATTAGTAAAACCATTCCTCCAGAACAGAAAAGTACCACTTTTGAGATTGCTGCAATTCTGAAGTCCAATTCAAAGTACCAGTTACTTCTTAAAAATTCATTTGTGTCAGAATACTGGACTACATGAAGCATTGCCTTGCCAAAGTTGACTTTTAGTTATCATTAGAGAGTACCTCTTGTGAAGTTCACAAGACTAGAAGAAGCAGCAACCTACTCTCTAGTGATCCCTGTATAATGCTTGTGGTTTTTACATTTTTTTCTAGGCTGAATTGATTTTCTTTGCTGATTTTTTATATGATTGACCATCACTCAGAGACATATGATTGGTGTGGTAAATAAGACACTATAGTGCACACACACCCAACTTACAGAACTAGAATATGACCATTTAAACATGATCACTATTGATAATTATAACTACTTTTAAATGAATATACAGCATGAAAAAAATATGAGATTAAGGAATTCTGAAAACCGTATACTACAAATTTGGATACAGTGCGGTGGGCCTTCAGCAATTTTACTGAAAAAAAAATTAAAAGCCAAGTTATGATTTCAGGGGAAAGCTATCAAGATAACATTCCAAGAGAAAAGGCTTTTGAAAATATGTCCAGATCAAGTTGCTGGTGCTATTTAGGTTAGTCCACATAGGTATAGGTCTCAGACCCTTCAAAGACTTTAGTGTAATTCACAAAAGTAGAATTTCTTTTCTATCTTCTCTCTTTCTTTTAATTAGTTTTATTCTTTACATCTGAATAGAACACTGGAAAGAAATTATGTAAAGGGGCTCAGAACTCTGCCATCCTTCTAATTCAACAACTGATCACTCTCAGAAAATGCTCTGAACAGGACTGAATTAGGTAAAGCTGGAACAATCAGCAAAAGAAAGATCAAGCGTGAAAATGGATGAAATCTAGATGTGAACTCCAGACAAAAACATCTTACAAAATATTCCCCCAGGGTAGTCCTATGGAGAAGCATTTGGGCAGTTGTTCAAAATGCTGTTAATAGCTCAATTCTACATCTTCCTGATCCCATGGTCCAGAGCATATGGGGTTCATTCTGTGCTTCCTAGTGCATGCATACCAACAAACCACAAAGAGAAACATCAGGAAAAGAGTAGAAACACAAATATAGACATATCCCTATAGTACACAAAAGATGCTTCTTATGGCCACTGTGGGTACAAATGTAGATACTTCTTATGGCCGCTGTGGCTACAAGTGTTGGAAAGAATTTAAGAATTCATAACCTATATGTTTTCCCTTTATTTTTTCTTTAAATTTGATCACTTTGCATACTAACTACGAAGCAGTAAAAGTTTATACCCACATTGGGTTTTGTGAAAAAGGGCCCACTTATTCCAATTCGAAGAAACTGCCTCAAAATGTATTAGTAACATGAGGAGCTCTTATCTTTGCATCTTCTCCACACAACTGTTAGTACAGCTTAAGGGCATTATGGTAACTGCAATTCACAGTAGGAATAAGAGCAGAATGTTTTAGGAGAGTGTAATTGTGGAGAAAAATGATCTTGGGAAAACTATGCAGCAACAGTTACAAAATATAAAAGCCCGGGAAATGCATTTAAGCATTACAGCATTTAAAACATTAGAAAAAAACTCTCAAACTGGCTCTGCCTTAATACTCTGGAGCAGTATGGTCTCAACCTTGGCAACTTAAAGATGTATGGACCTCAACCCCCATGATGCTGGAGTTGAAGTTCATACATCAAGTAGCCAAGATTAAGAACACAGTTCCAGAATATAAGAAGGAGGGAAAAGGGGAAAAATCCTGAGGCTTTCAAGATTCTTTTACTATAGGCTAACTCAATAGAGTTCCAATGAATAAACAATGAATGTTTCCTAACCTAGTCTATCTCAAAGGAGAAGAGTAATATCATCAATTTTTGGTAGTATTTTCACTTGGGACACAAACCAAAAAATAGTCCTCTTCGTAGATTCAAACTTGAACAAGGATCTAATAAATGGCTTTTATTTATGGACACTTCCTCCTCAGTTTCTGCTCTTTCCCTCTACTTCCTTAAAGATAGCACATAGCTCCAGAGCCCTTTTCTCTGCAAAATATTTTTTCTTCTCCTCTCAAGCTTGATTTTCTAAGTCATTCTTTTCTGTTTCCTGCGCGTCTTTCTGGAGATCTGCCTCATACCTTTCTCTCTATTTAAAATGCAAATTTTAGTCTTGGCTGGGAAAATTCAAAAATTAAATGCAGCAATCTTGAATACCAATTTGATTTTCTGTTCTTCTGGATGTTGATTCATCAGGAAAATGATATTCTGTATAAATGTTGCCATATTTAAGAGGCAGAAAGATGTAAATTTCCTATATGCTGTTGAAGCTTTGCACATGCATGATCTCTTAAGCTCACTACTCTTTGTAAGGAAAAGAACAATTTAAAATGCTCAGTCAGTATTTTAAAAAATGAAATATTTAGGAAATTTGAAGAAATGTTATTCAACAATAATATCATACAAGTAGTTCATTATAATGCATATAATTTAGCTTCATGCACACTAAATATCTGTAATATGACTATACTTACTTGCCATCTGCTGGTCGCTTGCAAACACAATGAAATTTGCCACCAAAATCAATGTACAGATCATCTTCTAATATGTAAAAAATTTGTCCCGTGACAATTTTGTCTTTGGCAGGCCCCATCTGAATTAAAGGGCAGGACCTCAACATTGATGCAAAGGATTCCACATTCTTGGAAGGCACCTAGAGAAAGCAGTCATTTTAATTTAGGAAATTATCAGATTTGATTTCTTAACATTCAATGTAATCTTTTACAGGATTTTTTTTATTTTATAGAGAAATTAAAGATATTAAGAAACAGTAGCAGCAATGATACGAAGAATCCGAAACATCCATTCATTCAAAGAGCATTGATCTTGATCGGGATTTAGGTAGGGTTACACTTATTTATTCCTAAATAAAGACTTTTGCAAGAATGTTCTTCCTATCTCAGGATTAAGGATGGTGAACTATTGTAGCCTATCTGATCTCAGGAGCATGCACACATGGTTGCAATTATTATCTTTGCAATAATTAACGTATCTTTCCCTTATGAACTTAAGGTAACATGTAACACAGTATGTTCCATTTCGTAATAGTTAAAAAACAGGCAGTATAAAATAGAGCTACAGAACATCTTAAAGGCTAGACAATGTGATACCATACTAATTTTGTACCTGTTGTATGAGCATATACACACATCTGGAGGCAAGGGCATTTTACACAGTGGGCATGCAAGCTTAAAAAATATAAGACTGCTTTAAAAAAATTAAAAAGTTCTTTATATCACTTTTGCATTTTAAATATTTCTAGTGAAGATCTGCCTAGTCTTACAATGAAACAGGACTTTTTCAAAATCTCTCCTCACAAAACTTCACATAACCTTTCTTTTACAGTATTAACAGTTATATGCCATGATTTTAATCACTGTTTAAAATAATTGTAAGAGTGGTTTCTACTTTGAAAAATAAATTTAGAATAATGGGGTCCTTACAGTCTCTGAACTTGGTTGTTTTCTTGCAGATGTTTCATTACCAAATTAGATAATATCATCAGACTTACCTAGTTTGGTAATTAAATGTGTGCAAGAAAACAATCAAGCTCAGAAAGCACCGAGCCCCATAATTCAATCCTGAAATACAAATATTCTCTTTCAAATTTAGAATAAGATTTGCTGTGAAATTCCACATTCACTCAGATGCATGAGATAACACAGTAGATCATAGTATATTAAAAAGCAAATATGACTGGATATTTTAGGAATAAAGTAAATTAGGCTGAGCAGCACAATTTTAAATTATACAATATGCTATCTAGGAGACCCAAATGAAATGAAGGGGCAATAACACTAAAAATGCACTACTAATTATATGCTCAGCTACAACACAATAAATAACAGGATTATTTTCTATCATATTGTTGCAGAAGTGTATAAGCCAACTACAAAAACAATTTCAGAAGGTAAATTGAGAATCTTTGTGGAATAGCTATGTCAACACATGTGGAACAAATCTCTCTGGGCCTAGAAATTAGAAGACAGGTGTACTTAAGTGTTCTTAAACTAACAATAGAAAACCAAAGGAACATACAAATTACTGAATTTATTGCACAAATTCTTTAGAAAAGGTTTTGTTTACTAAAAATAGTGCCATATGTGGATACAGATAAATCAAATGAAAAGAGAAGTTTTAGAAAGGCTGAAGGACATAAAACCAGATAGTTAACACTGAATGAATAATGGAGAGCAAGCAATATACTTGAAAAAGTTTTCTTTTGGATTACTGCTTACAGAAAAGCCTTTGACTATATAGAATAGATTATGCTAGAAAATTAAATATACACCTATTGGACTGAATATGCCATAATATCTAATTACTTTTCTATGAATCTCTAAAATGACCCATTTAGAAATCAAAAGAAAGACTCCGTGCAGCCTTCAGGTACCGGACTAACTCAGGGTTAGCCTCAGGCTCGAGAACCTTAAAGGACCCGTTAAGGCTGCACTTCTCCAGTTCCGGAATAAAGTGGACACGCGAAAGAAAGCCGAGGGAAGAGTAAGAAAGGATGCACAAAGCCGCACCTTGCTTCCGCTATCGCCGCCAACTTCCCCTTCTTTTGAAGAAGCCTCCCGGCGACAGCCAAGCGTCACCCCAGGACTGGCGCAGGAGACGCGTCTTCCTACCGTAGAAGCTCCCCGATGTAGAGTTCGTCCACCAGCAGCAGCTAAGAGAGCGGCAACTACCATGACTAAATCCAACCGCGGCTGACCAAACTCCGCCCACACCGGAAGTGGTAACTTTCCAACCCGCCTCCACACAACAATCTTAGAGATTCTGAATAGGAGGGGCTTTAGGATCTGTTTGGAACAGAGCGGAAATTCACCGGATGTCACAGGGGGAAACTCTCGGGTTGAACAGAACCCGATTCCTTCATTCCGCTGAGGCGCAACGTTGTTGACGCTCGGCCGCTTTTACGCACGCGCTCTCGCCGTGTCTTTACGTGATGCATGTTTGGGAAGCTCAGCTGGTCTTTCTAGGAGCAGGGGTAGGCAACATTGGCTTTTATGACTCGTGGACTTCAACTCCCAGAATTCCTGAGCCAGCCATGCTGAGGTAAAAGGGAGGTTTCCAAGCTGAGCTATGCTAACTCAGGAATTCTGGGAGTTGAAGTCCACGAGTCATAAAAGAGCCAAGGTTGCCTACCCGTTCTAGGGCGACGTAGCAGGTGCTCGTTCTCAGCAAAGCCAGGAATTAGGAGGGAGTGTAGGAATCCCAGCTGGGACAGAGAATTCTTAAATGCTCTTTTTGTTTGTATACTTTATTATTTTAAAAAATAATTTTAAGGCTGTGAATATATCCAGCAAACCTTCCTATTTTCCCCACAGCAATCCCTGAGGTGGGTTGGGCTGAGAGAATGTGACTGGCTTTCATGGTTAAGGCAGGACATGCACTCAGTTTCCAGCTCTCTAGTTCTGTGCTAGGCTATTCATGATCTTGAAAGTGTCACACCTTAGTAATATGTTTTCTAATAAATCAATTAATGGTATTTATGTCATCATCATTGGACCACTTAGGGCATTATACTATAAGTGAATTTCAGGGGTTTTTTTTCAAATTGTCCCTTGCAGCTCCATCTGTTTCTTCATTTCTCAAATAAATATCAGTAAATGTTAGTCTTCCATTCAACTTTTTAACATGTTCATGAAGTTTTCTCAAAAATATCCAGAATTAAGCTATGGTTGATAATTATACTGTAAAACTGAAAACTCAAAATAGTTGCACGTATATGAACATTCTATTGCTTAATTCAGAGTAACCAAATCAATTGTGTCTTAGTTACCAAAGTTTAAAAAGATACTGTTCTTATATCAAGAGTTCAGTCTTTTTGTTCAACTACTGCCACCTTGTGGTTTTTACTTAGAAGTTATTTATAGCAAGAATTGTTTTTCTAAAACCTAAAGTATTTGTTTTATTCACCTAACAACTACAAACTGGCCTAGTGGGTTCACAATCCAGATTGTATTGTGTGTTGGGCAATTGGGTGGAATAAATCTTAATTAAACATGGTTAAGCATGTTATAGTAGCACACCAGTGTCAGTACCTAGAGCAGGCATGTCTAACTCACGACATCACATGACGTCGTGCAACGTATCAGAGCTTTTTCGCTATTGCCGGAAATGGGGTGGGAGCGGCTCCGGTATGATGAAACCAGCCCATGGGCCGGCAGTTTGACACCCCTGATCTAGAGTATCTGGAGGATAAATAAACTTTTCAAAGAGGAAATCCTGGATTTAGCACTTTTAGGATGCTACCTAAAACCATTCAAGCCATCAATCAATTGGCAAAAGGACAGAATGTAATACTTATCTGCAAATCCATTCTTGGAATATCAAGTGTTTGATAGTGTCTGTCTATATTAATTATTGTACCTGTGGAGAATGATTTCCTAAAACAAATATAACAACAACAACAATAATAATAAAAAGTTGGAAGGGATCTTGGAAGTCATCTAGTCCAACCCCCTGCTCAGGCAGGAAACCGTATACCATTTCAGACAAATGGCTGCCCAGTCTCTTCTTAAAAACTTCCAGTGTTGGAGCATTCACAGCTTCATTCATTCATTTCATTCATTCTTATATCCTCTATGTTGTACCTTATGATGTCTCAGTATCAGGCTGCGTCAAAATATATCTCCATTTGTAAGGAAAACTAAATTTTATCTGTAATAGTTATTTATCACATGCTTTATAATCCAAAATTGTATAATGCTGCTTTGTTTATAATTATGACCACGTGTACACATACAGCCAAAGATTATAAAATACTTTATAATCTTATAATCCTATTTGCTTTTTTACATGGCAGTTTTCATTTTGTTTTCCACTATCTAATCTCTAACATACCAGTTGGAAGCCAATATTTATTTTACAAAAGTTCTAACTGCAATTGCAGTGCAGACTTTTTTTGTATGTGGAAGGGCATATGAGTCCAAAGCACAGCAAAAAGTACAGCCTGATTATATAAATAGGGAAAAATTCAACTGAACAAGATTGTTGTAAACAAAAACAAAATCACACTATATGAAACTGACTGGAATAGTTAAGAAGAGATTCTCTTGTTAAAAGGACCTATACTCAGCACAACTTAGTTCCAATGGACCTGGGAAAGGGTGGTGGAATAGAGCTAGAAGGCATGGTAAAGCAAGAGAAAAATCTGTGGAAAAACGGAGTACCTAAAAGCTGGATGTGCAAGAAATAAAGCTTTGGTCTGGTATATCAAAAATCAGAAAACTGCCTACTTAATTCTTTAAACAAGTTCATATAATGACCACAAGCAGATCCTGGGGAAACTATGTTAAGAAGTATAGCTAAGTATTTTAAAGTAACTAATATCCAACTAAACTTCAATATGTATACAAATGAACTGTATGAAATATAAAACCATGTTTGAAAACATTCAGATAGCCTTTTGTGTTTGACAATACAAAGCATTTTATTTGTATACGTAATCAAGTATTCAGACTAAATCTGAAATGCTACAGAAAGCTGTCAAATACAGCGTAAGTTGACTTATATGATGTGTAGCCTTTTTGGTGCAGCTATAAAGTCAAAGCCCAAGTTACCATGCATCTTAAGGATGTGTTCTAGTTCAGTTTAAGCTTAGTGATTAAAAGAAGCAAAAACATCTTCAAAATATGTTTTATAATGTGCCAGAAAATAAAACATATTAATCTTTTTAGAGCAACAAATTTAATTAATATTTTATATATGAAATTGACCTATGATTGCAATATTAAATATATTCTCAAGCTTCAATATGGATTTTCAATTTAGACAGGCTCCTATTTCATTGAAGGCCTTTTCTTACAGATGCAAACTCCCAGAATCCACATACACATGTGTACAAACTGCCCACAGCTTCTACCAATTGTAATGGAGAGGAGGATGAAATATACTCTCCCATAATTTAAATTCATGAGAGTGGAATAAACATATAATACTTTTAATAGCATGGAATGATTTGAAAGCTGTATTAAGCTTTTACATTTATCATCTGCTTCATGCCTATAAACTCATTTTACTTCTGCAACATTCAGTAGACAAGGCAAAAACAATTAAATCCACTTGTAACCTTGAAGGGAAAAAAAGTACCGTACTTTCCGGCGTATAAGACAACTTTCGCAAGCGTTAAAATTGGCGCCGAAGTCAGGGGTCGTCTTATACGCCGAGTCGTCTTATACACCAGAAATAACGGTAGTTTCCGGTGTATAAGACGACTTTCTAGGCATGCAACTCGGCGCCGAAGTCAGGGGTCGTCTTATACGCCAGGTTGCTTTATAAGCCGGAATATATGGTATTTCGGGCTGAGATCTGTCAAAAGACATATTTTCTGGAAAATTTCAATAAATGACAGATGACATGCTTGGAAGCTACCCTCTTCAGCTTTCATAACTGCAAAAAAAAATGTGGTGCAATAGCCATTGCAAAACCCAAACCAAATTATTTGGCCAAAGAATATTGGTGAAAGAATATCAATTAATATCCATTTAATGGCTAGACAAAGACTTCCAAGGTTTGTCTGTGAAAGCAGACATGAAGTGATGACTCATAATGTCACATGGGCATAATGTTCCAGCTTTGTTTTTAATTTTTTGTAATGCAGTAACTTAGTGATTACCTAGACTGGAATTAAGCCTAATACTCAAAATACATAAAAATTCCTGTCCTGCAGATTAACAAAGGCAAGTGTATTTTCCTAGTTCAAAAATACTCTGAACCTCAAGAAACTATTAAATATTTAGAAAGCTAAGTGCTAAACAGAAGAACATATTGGAGGAGTCAATAGCAGAGGTGATGCACTTCAGCATTTGCTTGCAGCATCTGACAGTGGACAGTACAAAGGTGAGGCAATCATTGAGTCTCCTCTTCAGTCTGCTTTGGGGTAGCTTCTGTGGCACTGGCGTTGGCAGCAGAATTCAAGACATCTCCAAAGTCAGCTCCAGCAGGCTTATTTCCCCCAACCTTAGACTAAAAGGGCAATTAAAAAATTTATGAGGCTAATCAGTGGATACTATAAATCAGAGGTCCTCAACCTTGGCAACTTTTAAGACTTGTGGACTTCAACTCCCAGAATTCCTCAACCAGCATGTAAATTGAAGTCCACAAGTCTTAAAGTTGTCAAGGTTGATGACCTCTGCTGTAAATAATCTGTGTTTTAGACCAATCTTTTTCAACTTTAGCAACTTTAACATTTGTGGACTTTTAACTCCCAGAATTCCTCAGCCAGCATGTAAATTGCTGTACACTTATATATTTAGCAGTCATTTACCAATTTAAGGTAGCAAATCAACTTAAGAAAGGTTCCCATAGAACTCCCCCCCTCCCATCCAAAGTACCCTTTTAGCATTTTTCTGGGAAATGTGGCATTTCAACAGCTTTCCAGTAATTTGTGGCAAAATACTAGACTGAGGATTAAAAAAAAAAGACCTCTAATACTGAAGAAAGCAATTTTTCCACTGGAATATATTCACGCCCATTTTCTGTTAGAACACTATTTTTATTTGCATATTTTTTCCATGGAAACTATTACACCTAGGAAGCTTCTCATCTTGCCTTGCTAAGAGTATCAACCCAGAACTTTCTGCCCAAAAGCAATTCTAAAAAAAAAAATTATGAGTTCTTCAGATCTGCTGTAAGTATACCACCCAGAATTCCTAGCAAGCTTGGCTTTAATTGGTTTCATTGATAAAAGTAATGAATACTACTGGATTCATAATTTCCAGAATTCTGATATCATATTATGTACTAATGAAGTTAAAAAGTCTCGAAATGGAATAAAGCACTATTCCACTACAGTACAATATTTCCAAAGGTATTCGTACTGAATCTATGTTGTTCTATTTTCAAGAATAAAAGCTCTTCTCTATTCTATCTTGTAGTTGCAGTAAGTGCTAAATGTAAAATTCATTCCATAGATGGGAGAAACCTAAGTGTTAAACTATTAATATCTTGGTAAGTTACTTCCTTTATAACCAATTCCTTCCCCTTTAGCAACACATTTTATTGTTAAATTTTACCTTTAGGTTCTCCACTTTTTCTTCAAATGACTTGAATGTTGGAGAATTTCTAATGAAAGAAAAAAGAAAAGAAAATTCAAGTTAGAAATATACATGCAATCTCAGACTAAGCAGGGAGAACCTACAAACAAAATTAAATAGTATTACATAGTATTTAAAATGTAACCTCTGATACTTTAAATTTAGTAAGCACCCTTTTTCTTCATCACCATCTGGTTAGTGATGATGAGGAATGTATTAATTTTTAAAAGGATTGTCACTCATATGTAGTACTTATCACCATCATTTTAGATTTGTTACTGATTTCTATAGTTACATGAATTTTACTCTGAATTATGTTCAGAGCTGTAGTTTTACAGCTTTACAAATAGGTTCCCCCCCAAACAAGCTATTCATCACATTTTCAGTGTATCTCTTGCTTTAAATACAGATGATTGCCAAGCAGCTTGTATATAAATCTGATACTTTTATATACTTAATATCCTGGTGCAGTTGTACCAAACAAACTGAGCCATTCCTATTCACATTTTGTCAAGTTTGGGCACTCTAGTAAACAATACATACTTTACCTCATAGCAGGCATACTAATTGAATGCTGTAGACAACGTATACTAAATGGCAGCATTAAAAGAAAGGAAAATCTGGTTATAAAAACTGATTAGCATGTCCCTGAAGAGAATATTTTTTTGACAGTACTGTAGTGGTAGAATTTGTAAAAGAATAGAGGAATTTCAGATGCCTTTATATAATGACTCATCCTTTTCCCAAACCTTTTAGCCCAGGGGTCCCCAACTTAGGGTCTGGGGCCAGGCCGCAAGCTCTTCCCCAGCGAGCTGCGGAAATGGCTAGCCGTTGTGCGCATGCGTGAGCACGCATTCTCCACTTGCACTAGCACCCATGACACCATTTGCACATACTAGTGCGGGGCAGGTGTCCACAGCCCATTTGCGCATGCACCGCTAGCCTGGATGGTTTGCGTGGTCTATATGCACATGCGCGAATAGGCCGCTAGCCCCCGTGGGGGTGCATGGCCGTTCACACACGCGTACAGTGTTAGCGCATGCTGCATGCACGAACATGGCTGCTAGTGCTGTGCCAGTGGGTGTAGCTCCAATTTTGAAGCTGCTCTTCTTCCCTCCGGTCTGGGAGACCAGAAAGGTTAGAGACCTCTGTTTTAGACATCTCACTTGAAAGAATAAATGCATACACTCTGTAGGATAGCAAGCAACATTTAGAAATAAGAATATGATTCTATATAAAAGAATATATCATATAAATACTTTTTCTCAGTATTGTAAATATGTAGATATCTGAAGTTTTCAATAAGAACCAAAATAAGATTATTCTCTGCATTAAAATCCAGCTGTTTTTCAATTCAGCAGTTTTAAAATCAAATACAGTGATTTATTTGTGTAGATAGATCAACCAGATGATTCCAGCTTTAATTTGACATCTATATTTTGCTTTATCTAAATATTATTATATTCAGTTTTACTAATAACTGTCCTGCCTTCAACCTGCAAATCTATAGCCTGATGCTAGGGAATGGAATTCAGAGCTATAGTCTGTATAATATTAGTTTCCCAGGACACCTAAAGATCATGCATCACGGTGCAGAAGCATTTTTCTGCAAATTTCATCAACTGTACAATAATTCAAAACCATATTAACAGTTTAATTCTAAGCAATTCTGAGGTTTACAAGTCCAGGCAGGGGAATTCACAACATTCACAACATGCTAATGCCTAGAAAATTTTCTACTTTTATAGTCTGAGCTGCTTATTGCTCCTAATGCAAGTTTCAGAGCATTTCCTTTTGTCAATTTGTGCTTCAAGAGAAGCTTGTAGAAGTGGAGAGTTCATGTACATGTGAGTTCAATGGAACAATATTCCTCACGCCAACTGCAAATATATTTTAGTCAAGTCTCTGCTAACTATCTAATTCAGTGTAAATTGCAAAATTCTAAACCAATCACATACAAAAAAAAGTTCTAATACAAAAACAACACTATTAGAATCAAAATTATATTTATAATAAAAATTACTTGAATCAAAATTATATCCATAATATAGGCAAAATCTCTACGGCCTTTTACTGTCCTTTGATCATTATTTTGATTTATTATGCTTCACATTGTTTGGCAATCAAAATTCTTTTGAGTCTATTACAACAGAGTTCCCCAACCCTTCCGGCTTTGCAGACCGGTGGTGGTAGGGAAGGGAATGTTCTGTGAGAGTGATGAGCAAGCATGTGCACGCAGCTCCATTCGCCCAAGAGGCAGGCATGCACACATGGCACTCATGAAAATGGAGCACATGTGCACATGCTCACCAGCCATTTGCGCAAATGGAGATGCACGCGCATGCTCGCATGCCACTTCCATGGCCTGGTTTCAAGGCTAGGTAGTGGGCCGCAGCGCAGGAGTTGGGACCCCTGCATTACAACATTATTAAAATGTATTAAAAAGCAATTAATCAGTGGTTTAATTGTAAGTAATAAAATAGAGCATAGAGAAACCATTGTATTAACGTTCACCATTAGAACTCTGTTGCCTATCTGTTGGTGATAATCTGCTGAAACATTTCAAAATGACAGCCAAGAAAGAAAATAAGGATCTAGAGATTCTGCTGCATAGACAGCATTTTGTTTATATTTTGTTTTTAAAAAACTGATACAATTAATCTCCATTACAACATAAATAACTAAGTGGAGGGAGAAAATAAAACATACTTCACATCTTCCAGCTTCTTTGTGATGGCAGAACCCACTGTTGAGAAAGCAGCAGATGCTTTCTGTCCAGCCTGAGACAACGTTTCTGATGTCTTCTTATACCTGTATCGGAAAGTTAGTCAATTTCTGTCATCATGGTTTGTACCCTTGAACCTTAAAGGTTCAGATTGTCTATTTCCCTTTTCAGCACATTTAAAATTAAGAGATAATGTATCCCATGAAAAACATTAACAAAGTCTCTTAATAACCACTGAACATCAACTTTAGATTGAATTTTAAACAAAGCTTTCATCTATTAAGATAAATTAAGGTTACTGGTTTGTTATTGTATTTGATTTTTAAAAAAGGAACTACATAAAAGAAAAGTCAGACTGCTTTCATCTTAGACAACGGTTGGCCTTCAGCTACCAACATTTTTAAAAATTAATTATTTAGTAGTAGTAGTAGTAGTAGTAGTAGTAGTAGTAGTAGTAGTAGTAGTAAATTGAGCAAGGATGTTGATATATTTGTTTAGCAGAATTCTAAATATTACTTGCCTGGAAATGATCTGCCACTCTATTTTAATTAATAAAATTGCCATGGCATAGATACTACATACATATTAAACATTTGAAAGCTCTCCTCATGGAAGACAACAAACAACAGCTATATTCACATGCCATGCTAAACCATCATTTGTTTTGTTTTGTCTACCTGTGATGTGTGAACCCAGATTTTACATTAATAAACTTGATTTATAGTCTAACATTTTGCCTAGACTATAATGACTTATTCAACAACCATGGTTCATATGAAGTACATCAGAAAAAAGCAATAATGAGATATCCATGCAGAGAATTCAACTTCCCTCTCCACTAGACCCCAAATTTTAAAAAATGCTGCCCCATTAGATCTCAAATTATAGTTTTTTCTGGATAATATTCATGAAACTCAATTAATTAATTAAACTCAAGCACTTTCACATCACTCCCAAATAGCAAAATAAACATACGCGTTTGTTGAAGTTACATCTTGCCACCCTTTAGAAATATTTTGTTTCAGTTCTTGCAGTGAACTGATGCCTAGTTTCCTCTTTATTTCAGCTAGATGCTTCTCTTTGGCAGCTAACACCTGTGACAAAGTCTGGATTTCTTCTTCTACCTATGGGACAGAATCCACAAAGCAAAGCAATGAAAAGAATGTTATATATAAAGAAAATGCTACTTCACACAATTACTAGCATTTCTTTCAGAAGATTTGTGTCTATATTTTACTGCAGACTTCAATATACACATTAGATAGAATGGAATCAAATACATTAGGCCACTTCAAATTTAATAAGTATCTGGTATTCAACTACTGTATTCTAGTTCATATGCAATATCTATACCAGTTAATAAATTTAAGCAAGAAAACCTTTATATATCATAAACTTGCATAAGTGCTTTATCAAATCTCAACTTTACTAAGAATCTACTACAACACTATATTTTTATTTAATCAATTTGTATAACTGTATATGTCAACAAGTGACTAGGGGCAGAGAACAGTTTCAAGTAAAAAATAACTGCATCACAAATATAAAAATTAAAATGCATAGCAGCTGAGAAAAATATCACAATCAGCCAAGTCTAACACAACAAGGAGGTGGGTCCTCTCACAGTCAGGGGTCCAGGCCAAGACAGGTCTTTAGGACCACAAAAAAGGCTAGGAACATTAGGGCCATCCTAATTTCCAGGGGGAGAACTTTCTATAAGGTCAGCATAATGGCAGAAAAAGCATGTCTTCTAGGTTCCACCAACAGGCATTCCTTAACCAATGGGATCCAAAGCACTCCCATCCTACTGGCCCAGATTGGATGGTTAGAAACAAATAGACAGAGATGGTCCCTCAAGTAAACTATAACTATTTAGATAGAGATCTAAAATAACCCTTAATTACTGTATGAGGATTTTTTTTACAAAAGAGCAATCCATAGGAAGTATAGTTTGGGATGACATCACTAGACAGATAGCTTTTTTAAGTTCATGGGGATAGTGTTAAGGGAAGACTTAGATTATTTTAAAAAGATGAAATGAGTGCCTTGGGTCATTCATTTGCTTCATTACTCCACCAAATGAGAAATTTGTACATTTCTGTTGATTGTGAAAATTGAAATAGGTACCTTTAAGCCTCCCATTTCATTCCAACTCACCCAAAAGATGTTTAACATTTTAGCTCCCCCCACACCAGGGATGCTGCAGGAGCCACATGCTGATATGTGACTTTCCTAGAATATATATCATACCATTCAGGCCTTCTTGAAAAACTAAGCTTATTTTATTCACAGCAACATCAGAAAAAGGCATATTGACAATATACATAATTATGCCAATAATATGTAAGTCCCCGTGAACAGCTCAAAGTCAACATGCAGGCAGTTCTTGTAGCTCCAGAACCTCCAATAGAGTTAAATGGGGTTAAATTTTAGATCCTCCCATTCTGATGACATCCCTAGGTATAATCCTTGCAGCCCTTCAGAAGGACAGGAAGCAAAAGTGTGGCTTCCAGCCTACCGTGGTTTCTTAAATCATGGCTAAATACAAAATGACTTTGCACAATCTGTTAACTCAATCATTTTATCTTTGTCAAATATAGGTGTATAAGTAAATGTTTCAGATTAGTGTTAAAGATAGCACAAGAAGTTGTCATTTCAAATTAAATTTACCTTAGCAAGCTCTCTTCTAAGTTCTTCTTGTTCTTCTTCAGAGAGAGCTTCTATATTAATTGCAGCAACCACATCTTCTCCTTCAGGAATGGCTTCATTTTTCAGCAGACCTTTAAAAAGCAGATCAAAATTGTCAACCTGGCATCACACTACAAAGATGTTCTATAGTGAGGTAGAATGGAAGCCATTAAGACGGGCTCAGTATGAAAAAAAGGACTGATGTAGTGCAAGGTGTGAAAATATTAAGATAATAAGTTCAACTGACTAAAGCTTATTTTAGGGAAATTATAAAAATTATAAGTCAAGGGGCAAAGAAGCAGAGGTTTTTTTTAAATTTAAATATCAAATCAAGAATAAATTCCAATAAAAACCCAGACAGACAAGTTAGTTTCAGACATAACATTATCAACCATCATAGAGCACACTATTGATGGTTGCTCCTCCCCCTGCTCTGTCCAACAGTAAGCTGTGCCAAGCAATTTTACTTAGCCACCCTTTTAAACTCACATGACGTCAATGTCCTGTTCTCATTTAGTGTGAAAACTGAAAGTATGGCTGGACAGAACTCCCTAGCTCCATTATATTTTTTTTATTATGATCTACAAATAAAAGGCAAAAATATGTGTCCCAGGATAATGTGACCAATATGGGTCAGTCATCGGAGACCAGAGGTTCTGTCTTCTGAGCTTTCGGACTCGAGCTAGAACCCATTTTTAGGGAGCTTCTTTCTGGCCTAGAATTCGAAAGCTCGGAAGACAAAACGCCTGGTCACTGGTCCCCAGTGACCGACCCAGATTAGATCCTATAAACAAAGTATTGGATCAAAAATCTGTGCCTCACTGAGGGCTCCTTATATCCAGGAACCAATCCTGTAAGTGTACCTGAACCGGGTTAGGGTTAATATTACAGATTATTATTACATTGCAAAGCAATTACAGTAGCAGTATCTCCAAACATGACCCTTTTCTTTTAGGTCAAGGATAAGCAACTCTCCCACGGGTCTAACTATGACTGATGCCCTGATTTGCCAGTAGGTTGTAGGAGCTGCCACTCCTCTCCCCTCAGTGAGTTTAGCGTATTTTGAGTGGATGCCAAAGTCCATTTTCCATTCTTACTTAGTTATTTTTGATCTTACAAGCCCTGCATAGAAATCTGGCAACTCAGTCTTGGGGTGCTTTAGAGTTGCAAATGAGGTGGCAAAGTCCTATATGCATTACAGCATATAATCTCCACTCCCTGCTAGTAAATGTATTTATTTATAGAAGATAGGGGGGAGGAGCAGAAGCATGAATTTCTGTTGTGGAGAATTACTTCTGATGAAAAACCAAGATGTCCTCCTTAAAAAACACTTTAATAAAGACGGAAGAAACCCCAGCCATATTTGATAGTGATCAGCTAAAATAGTAAAACATTCCTAATAGTGACCTGTTTTGTTTTAAGAGGGGAAAAAAGTCACTTGTGATATTTAAATTGTCTACTGTGTGGCTTCCTTCTCCAGCCTTACTGTCCTGCCAAGATTTCTCATTTCACACTTTCAAAAAACTAGCCCCCTTAGAACTTGGAGAAGTTCATGACACAGCTTATTGCAGTAACTGTAAACAATGAGCACATACCTATCTCCAGACACAAGATACCACAAAGAGTATGCCCATCCTACTCCCCACCCCATAATATACTGCTGTCACAGAAATTTCTTTCTACAGCTCTCATTTTAGAGGAATGACATTTAATGTTACAAACAATGAAAAAGTGGCACACCACTTGTTTCCAGACCTCAAGAAATTAATACCATGACAATTTATTAGAGCCCCTGTAATTTGAAGAGTCAGAAGTTACCCGCCTGATGTGCTACCCATTTGCAATAGGATTGAGTTTATAAGCAAACTGAATCCCAGAGTATAGTTACATTGAATGAATGAATGAATGAATGAATGAATATAAATAAATATGAAAGAATTACAGGGTATGAGAAAAGACGCTTTTACAGAAAAAGATCAAAATATTCTCAAACCTGATATGCTAATTTACTGCAAGTTGTATGGAATAGGCTTTTTAAAATTATTGTTGATTTATTAAATTTGTTTGCTGCCCATCTCCCTGTCAGGTGACTCTGGGTTTCTTACAACATTATTGCAATATTTGCAAACTCATGCAAATTCATAATGAGTATTTTCCAATATTTAAAATTTACAAAAGTTCCACTCAATCTATTTAGAAATTAAGAGCAGCAGGGATATATAAAATGTGGGATGTTCCAGAGGTTACTGAATTTTTGCTGAACTCTTAGCATTTTACACCATGGATCACATTGTCTGGGACTATTTAAGCACTGCCATGAGCAATATTAAAATTTTTACTCCTGATTTAGGAATTAATGCTAATTAATGCTTATTTAACTCTATTTGTAAATATTCCTACTGTATATGCTTGGAAGTATCCAAAGCACGATTTGCATCATTGTGAATATTTAAGGGTAGGTAGCAGATGAAACAAACCAGTGAGTTTTTTCATGAACGAAGGAAACATAAAATCTACAATTTTCTTCTCTGAAGCCAAATTATACTCTAGGCTACCAGCTGCTCTGAGGTTGTTGTAATCAGATAGGAAATTCAAATTATATATCAATCAGAAGGCCTCAAAATCATTTTGAAGAATACTATTGCTTGTTAACCAAACGCAAAGGAAAAATTGCAAAATATGAATGATACCTGAACATTTTTATTAGCAAAAAATCTAGAATAATGTTGCAACTTGTTTTTTTATATCAAAATAATATATTATGAACAGCTGCATCCATCATCTAAGATGAGTTCTATTTAATCCCTAAAAGAGAACTCAAATCTAATACATTTGGAACACTAGTTTTCAATAATTACATTTTGGGTATATAATCATTTTTATTTCCCATGAATCAGAAACCAACTGTTCTCCCATCCTAAGAGACTCAAGACAGTTTTAGGAATTGCATGGCAATATCAAATATCAAGTATCAAGATTCCATTTCATATATTCATGTTCTAAACTAGGCTTTCAATAGTTTCTATCTAAGCACTAATATCACTGTATACACTAAGATTACAATATAAAAAAGATTTGTTTCTAAATAGAGAATCTTTTTACAGTATGACCATTTTCAGTTCCAGCAGATAAATCAGAGCCTTATTAAACTCTAAAAGCAAGCTGAGCTGTTATCTCCTCTTATAATAGATATTAAAACACAAGAGAGTTACCAGAATTCTTCAGTACAGGAGATTCAGGAGGGGAGAAGGTCATGCTGGGCAGTAAATAAAGGTAGTTTTTATTAACTCCAGTGTTAAAATCAAAAGGAGATTTATAATCTTCATACAGATCCGTATCTTGCCAATCCATCACAGAGATCTTCGAATGCATGAGCACTCGTTCTTTCCTGTACCTAGTGACATATTCATCTTTCTTAGCCTCTTTGCACCACTGTGCCTTTACCCTGAAGTATGTCTGAAGCTGATCTGATCATAAGCTTTAGGCTGCCAGATTGAAATGTCACTGCAGAAATACTCCTTTATTGCATGGACTAATGCGGGCAGCAAACCAGAAATATGTGGTTTACGCCCCCTCAATGCACCAGAATGGTCTTTAGACATTAAATATCTATGATCCTGGAAAGCCTTAGCCCTTGCTGGATTACACCAAGAATTTTCAGGGTTGTTTTTTTTAAGTGTCAGCTGACTGTTATTGCACCAGAATATCCTTAATCTTCTAGGACACAAAAGGATTACTAGACATAATCTATTCTATCAGCCATCTGTGTAAGACTTCATGCTTGATTAATGGAATAGATTTTTTTCTCCCAAAAACACAAGCTGAGTTTTGCAGCCATTATCCCTGCAAAAAAAATAATTACATCTATTTCTTGCATTGTAGCAATGCATATTTAGCAGTTATACAAAAGAGAACTGTATTCTGTTTCCTAGTATCTCCATATAAACTTTGAAAAATACACCTTTCTTAATTCACACCCATGCAGCTTCTAGCATTAACTGGATATGAAGCTATTGTGCATTCTAAGTTTTGAATAAATAGACTTTGGATCAGTGAAAAAGATCCAATGCCTCAGATGAAGCTATCCAATGTGTTATTTCAGCTTCAATAATATATTATCTTAAAAAATATAATTTGGCTACAAATTTTGGAGACTTCATCCAAGACCTGGCAAATGGCATCTATGCACCAGCATAAGATTCTCATTTAAATTCTAAAATAAATCATAGATTATTATGTTGAATATATGTGCAAGCATGAATGAGTAAACTTCTGCATACAAATTTAGCTTGTTTCTTAAATCAAGAGAATAGGACTTGCTTCAAAACTCTCTCCTGTTTTTCAGCTGAGTGCTTGATCAAATTGTTTTATCTGTCTGTCATCCTGGGTACTTTATGAATGCTGTTATTTCCCCATATTCATTTAATGCAGTGTTTCTCAACCTTGACAATTTTAAGGCATGTGGACTTCAATTCCCAGAATTCCACAGCCAGCAATGCTGGCTGTGGAATTCTGGGAGTTGAAGTCCACATGCCTTAAAATTGTCAAGGTTGAGAAACACTGATTTAATGGAACACTTTATCTAAGGGCTTTTTCTGAATACAGTAATTCTTCCTTGTTACTGGAAATCAGAGTAGTTTCTTCTTAAGTTTGTAATTCCAGTTCTTTGGACAGAGAGCTGTCCAGAGAGACACTATTTTATCACTAAAATCTATTAATAATCTGCTATTATGCAAGTCTTACTTGTTGAAGTCAGAAGTTATAGCAAAAATATCTTTTGGGCATGGAGCAAAGTTAAAAAAATTAATGATCCTTTTCAAGATTCATAACTGGTAAAAGTTGATTTGTTCCCTTTACTTGAAGTTACTAAAGTCAATTATTGTAATTTATATATTGAGTCAAATGTTATTAGCCACTGGTGACATCTTGGGTTCATTAGATGTTATTTTCTACAATCTACTGTAGAAATAAGGATATCAAATCTAGTCTTCTAAAATCCAGACATCTGCCTACATGGCAGCAAAGAGGATTAGAGAGAACTAGAACTCACAGTCTCCTGTTTCTAGCCTGGCGCCTTAGTCATAGACCAAAC